TATATATATATTTAACAATGATTCATATCACTAAAATCTTTGAACTATACGATAAAATTTCTTGATGTTGTTACAACATTATTAGTGTATCAAAGGGACACATGAAAAACTTTGTAGTGCACACAAGAAAAAAGTTACATTTAACCCAAATTTGGTTTCAGAATACATAGGCGATTTGAATTGTTGCACCCAATTCAAAGTCTCATTGATTGAGGAAGCATATTAGGTAGGTTTAACTTCTTGTGATAAAGTTGATAAGTTTAAATATAAATATATCATGTTATTTATTGGAATAAATCTCAAATATATAAAATGTCATTTGGTGAAGTTACTAGATTGTAAAGGGAAAATCATATTTGAAACTAGACATTTTTTTTTTGTTTCTTCTTACAGTTTATTTGACTTAACATTGAGACATAAAGAAGAGTTTGGTCTGGTCACACATGTCAGTAAACTCACACACTCACGCATACATATGACCTTGTGAACCAATAAGTTTTGTAAAACCAAAAGTAATAACCATAGCTAACCATCCACCAATCAAAACCCTAAGCGACGACTTAACCACCGGTGCTTTCCCCAAAACCGCACCTAACCATCCAAACATCACCAAAGCCAACGTCACCGCAGCCACTATCACACCAATCCTCACTTTATACTCTTTCACAAACGCAGCCGCCAACAACGGCACAACCGCCCCAAGAGAAAACGCTAACGCAGACGCTGCAGCCGCTTGTGTCGGGCTAGGAAGCTTCTCTTTCTCTGCCTCTCCTCCTCCGGTTTGATCTCTCTTCATCTGAGCTTTCTCTATGTCGTACTGAGAGTAAACGGAGACAAACTCTCCTATAGCCATGCTACAAGCTCCGGCCACTAAACCAGCAAAACCGGTTAAGATCATGATCTTGATGTCTTGCTTGACCGCACCAACACCCATCATTAGTGAAGCTGTCGAGACAAGACCGTCGTTTGCACCAAGAACAGCTGCGCGTAGCCATTGAGCTCGTTTTGAGTAGTCAAAACCCTTTTCTTGATCTTTCTCCATGTCTAGGTTCATGTTGTTGTGAGATTCCATGGTTAGATCTTTCTTGGTTTTCCTAAATGAGAAAGACTTGAAAATGTAAGTGTGGAGAACACACGCCTAGGTTAAGTTCTATTTATGGAGAGAGAGAGAGAGAGACTTTGTATTGAGTATATAATATTATGTGATGAAGTCGACAACGACACTTATTTGTGGTGGGGGCATAAATCATAATCACCACTAACATAAAACACTTTTGACTATATTTGGAAAAATATTGAATTTATTTCTCTGATGATACATAATATTTTCAAACCTTGGAACTGGAATTAAGCAAAAAGGTGTCTAATCGTGTTGCCCACTAGCTACGATTGCATGAAACGGATAAATGAAGTTTTGGAACTATACATGAAGTGGTTAACGGCTGGTGTAGTTAACAAGCTTTCATATTGTTATGATCTATTTGGTTAGTGTCAGTGAGGAAAAATAGCGAAAATCAACCTAGAATATATATTTGTTGACGGTATTTTTATACACAAACTACAATATCCGGTAAATAGCAACATAAACTCACAAAAAATTTAAATTTCCAACTTAAACTATATGAAATCACCCAAAATCAACATATACCGAAACGGTATTAGTTAACTATATAAGGCGATGAGTCTGACGATACCGTGGCAATGACGGGACATCAAAGTTGAGTAAAACGACGTCGTTTTGTGAGTTTAGGGTTCTAGAATAGAAGATTTGTTGAGTGTTTGCTTTAGCAATTATTTGATTCAGGAATCCTAAAATCACGAAACGACGTCATATTACTTAATTCTGATGTTCCGTCATTGTCATGGTGTTGGCTGACTCATCGCCGTTAAATGGTTAACTAACACCGTTTTGGTATATGTTGATTTTGACTGATTTCATATAATTTAGGTTGGGAATTTGAATTTTTTTATGAGTTAAGCTTGTTATTTGCCAGGTATCATATAGTTTGGGTATAAAAATACTGTCAGCAAATAGTCTGGGTGATTTTTCGCTATTTCCCCCTCTAAGTGACTTAGTGTTACATTATATTATTGATCAACAAAAATGTGTTCCGAGCTTGACAAATCTAGAATGAGGTGACGAGACTTTCTCTCGTACGACGAACCATCGGTTCCAACATTGGCCTAAAGGCTAAAGCCACATTACTATTGAGTTTGGTAGATCAATGAAGCCATGAGAGCCGTGAAAACGTATAGTCTTGACTCTTGACTCGTGTGCAAGTGAAAAAAACTTTAAATAACATAATTAAGAGATGGATTGCTAAATTGGAAAGCACTGAGAAATGAATTAAATTATATATAGCAAAAGATAAAATAAGAGAAAAAGTTGATAAATAATAAAAAGAAATAAGAGGGAGTGTGTGTGGGGTTTAAATTTGACACTTCACGGCCATCGTCACGATCACTCATATATATGCATGCAAACGTATTCGCCTACGTGCTCTTAACATATTGTAATTACTAATTTATGTATTTATAACACATATGCATATGTATATTTTAAACCCTTTATTTTGTTTTTCATCAAAAGTTAATATATATATATATATATATATATGAATTAATGTAATCTTGATACAATTGTTTGGATAGCCACTGCGGCAGATTAAAAACAATCAGAATAAAACCAAATTTGGCTAATAAATGTGCAACATTATTACAACTTCGCCTTGTAAGAACAAAATGAGTATATTGAAACAAAGAAGCCCATAATCGAATATCATATAAAACGCAGTCAATAGATCTATCAACATGAGTATTGCTGATTATTTTATTTAGAAGTTCACTGTCGCCTTCAAAATAAATTGCATGGAGGTCTCTGATCCAACATTGTTGCATTGCCGCTACTAGTGCTTTTGCTTCCGCCTCTAATGGAGACATAGCTTGATCAAAAACAGCAGATCCCCAACCAAGTGAAGCACCATTCTTGTCCCGAATAACCCATCCTCCTAGAACTTGTTTAGTGTTAATATCAAACGTTGCATCGTAGTTGCATTTAATAGAATTATCTGGAGGTCTAGTCCAAGTATGACCAACTACTGTAGTAGTAATTGACTGGGAAGGTTGAGATGGAACCGATAGCTATCCACATATGTGATAAGATCCTTATAATGAAGATTAACATTCGCCTGAACACTATGCAATGCCTTCGGTGGATGAGAATTTGTAACATTATCAATATTGACCCTAGCTGTTTTTCCATCGCTAATGATGTAACAAATACCTTTTTTTTGATATAATTTTAAGATCTTCTAAAATAGAAGCTCAGCCATAAGATTGTTTTGTTCTACTCTTTGCATCAAAAATAGACTCATTTCTAAAATATCTAGCTTTCATAATACACGCAAAAAAAGAATCTGGATGCTTATGAATCCTCTAAGCTTGTTTAGCCAACAAAGCATCATTGAATTTCGATAAAATTTTAAACCCCATACATCCTTCGTATTTGGGATGTTGAAGTCTTTTCCAAGCAATCCAAGGTATGCCACGTTCATTGTTTCTACGTTCCCACCAATATCTTTGGAGTTCATAATCTATTTCATTAATAACACTTACCGGGATTTTGAAACATGACATAGAATAGACTGGCATTGCGAGAGCCACATATTTTAACATAATTTCTTTACCAGCCGGGGAAAGCTTCTTCACACTCCATGAAGCAGTTCTTTTCTTAACATTTTCAATAATATAGTTAAACATGTTTTTCTTTTTTCGTCCAAATTGTTATGGGAGACCTAGATACTTCCCACCACCCCAATGATTAGAAATTTGTAAAATATTTTTTAAATTAGAAATGGGTAACGAAACCTTTAACAAAAAAAGAAAGAAAGAATTGGGTAACGATGTCATATATTATTTGTTGATTATAGTGTTTACACAGCTAAAATTATATTTTTGAAAGTTTTATTTGTAAACTTGGTTGCTAAAATCTTGATTATATTTTTTGATCTATGGACCTTAACAATTTACGTCTGACCCAAATCTGATTTAGCATTGTTGATGTTCAAGATTAAGTTTGTCATTGTAATATAGATCTAGTTGTACCAAATATTACCAAGTTGTAATTTTTGGTTTTAGAAAATATTTAGTTACAGAACTATAATAATTTTACCACGTTATACCTATATATATATATGGTTTTGTACAGGTTTTTAAAACAAAATTCTAAAATTTCAATAAAAATAAGAAACTCATTTTCACTTGCAAAAAGTTAGGTTTTTCTGTTGTGTGAAAGAGGGACAAGATTCGAAATCTAGAAAAGTTTTTAAACGACAAAATACCAAAAAACTGTTAAACCTACGATTTTTTTAGGCATAATATCCAAATCCAAATATGGAAATTTAGGGGCGTTGAGAACAAAGAAATTTTCCAACCCAAACCCGATCTAAAATATCCGAACAGATCCTATACTTCAAGACCAAAAATTCAAACTTGAACTCGACCGAACCAGAATAAGTACCCGAACATACCCATAATATAAGTACCATATTAGTAACATATATATATAGTAACTTTTTTTTATAGTAATTGAAGTATCCAAATATTTTAGATATTTTTGGGTATTTAAACTATTTTTAGTAAATTAGAGTAAAAATTACTTTAGGTTTTAAGATATTTTGGATATTTTTCGAGTAGTTTGGACTGAATTTTAAATACAAAATTTTTAATTATTTTTTGGAAACTTTTGATTACTCGAATTCGAAACTGAATCTAAAATTTAATTGTATCTGAATGTGTTCTATACCTCTAAACACGAAAACTAGCCCTGGGCATAATATCTAAATCCGAGAATCCGATCCGAATCCGAACCGAAAAATCCGATCCGAATCCGTATCCAAGAATCTAAATTATCCGAACGGATTCTAAAATTCAAGATCCGAAAATTCGAACCCAAACCCAATCCGATCCGAAATCCGAATGGATATCCAGGCATGTCCAAAACATAAGTACATAGTTATATACTAATAATGTTCATTACATGTAACAACTTAAGTGCTTAAAATATTCAAGGTTTCAATTACTTTAAGTAAATTCATGTATAACAACTATTTTTTGAGTATATTTAAGTAATGTAGTCGTAGTTTTTAGATATTTTGGACATTTTTGCGTAGTTTAGATAGATATGTACACAAAATTTTAGATTTTTGAATACTGTGGATAATTCGAATCCGAACCCCAAAATATCTAATTCAAATCCGATCAAAAACCAAAATTTGAAAATATCCAAATAGATTTTATAATTCTAAATCTGAAAACCCAAATCCGAAATATCCGATCCAAACCCGATCCGAATATCCAAACCACATTTAACCCGAATTTGAATATAACGGTGATCCAATTACTTTATTACTTTTTCAAAATTGCAAAAGATAAAACTAAAAATAAAATTACATTTTTTTTTTTGAATTCAGAATTCAGAATTCTACGCTTAACTACTGAATCCGAGAAGCCTTTGCCGTCGAAACCATTCTCCGGCAAGTTCTGTAAATTTGGGAGTGAGAGAGTGACTGAGAGATATTTACAATAATGGCGACGACGAGCCTCGTTTCGCTTCTGGAGAAGCTTAAAGTGGATGAGCCTTACCTTCCTCCGCGAAATTGGGAATCTTCACCTTCCGCGACTAGCCGATTTCTTCCTCCAACTCCCGCTTCTGCTACTCCTTCGTCTTCTTCCTCTGTCTCCGTAAGTTTAGTGAAAGTCTCTGTTTCTTTCTATCATCTCTCTGGCTTTGATTGGACGATTTGGGGGAGAAAAAGTATCAATTTTGTTGAGTTATGTAGAATCAATTTAGGGTTTTTGAATTTGGGTGCGGGATAGTTATCTAGGGAAGATTACATTGTGGAGAAAGCTTTACGTATTGGCTTTTAGTGCTACATTATAAGGTGAAGATGCTCTCTAAGATGACAACTTGTTATTGAGAACACTGGTTAATGTATTTAGTGCTTAGATTAGATATGTATATAAAGTCCTTTCATAGTCTATGGCGCGTTATCAAGATAAAATGTGTGTAGATCATGCGTAATTGAAACTATGTTCTTTCTTACGTTTGTAATAGGAATCTAGCTTGGTCAGGCTGGCGTTGAATGCTCTGCAAGGTGTTGAGTCTTCTCTTATTAGTATAGAACAGCTCTCTTCTGCATTATGCTCTGAGCCAGCTGACAGGACCCTCCACAAAATTCCGAGCTTGTGGCATCGGTTGTCAAGCACTGATGCGTTGGGACAGATTCTTAGAAACATTGGCTGCTTTGGTTCTTTGGTGTTTCTTCTTCACAAGTTTGTCGACCATTTCACAAGCTTGAATTTGGATGTGGAAACAGATATTGAGGGACAGGGGAGCTATAAAATATGTGGAAATGAAGAAGCTAATAACAAGATTTGCTATACTCTTGTTAATCAGGCTTTTGCTATTGCTGTCAGAAAGGTCCTCGAAGGCTATATATCTGGACTGGATACATTATGTGCATCTATAGAACTGAGGCGTTCATCAAACATTGTTGATGGGTCTGACCATGGTTCCTCTTGGTTAGGCTGCCTTACAAATGTCGTTCATCCAAAATTTACATTATTAGAAGTTTTTCTGCATACTACAGAGTTACGAACACAGATTGAAGCTCTAGCGAACATATGTGATTTGTATGATATATCCCTGTCTTATTGTACTTCTCCTTGGGAATGTCTGATTAAGGAAGCCACCACGCGATTTCAGGGGTTCTACAGAGGAAGCAACCTGCTTACTTACTTATATTCCCAACTACAGGTCAGGCTATGTTATGTTCCTCATTTAGTATTCGTCCTCATTTTTTCTCTAATGACGCACATAGTTATCGATTAGTGTAGCCTTTACTTTGTGTCATTAAAACTCTGCATATCTTTACTCTCTACTCTCTACTCTCTAGATTTTCCATTTTTGTGACTGATGTATACACATGTTCTAAAGAAATTTGAAAGAATATCAATACATGGCATTTAAATAAATCTATGCACCTTGTGATGTGGACCACTTGATATGGTGATTATAGCTGCAAGTTATACTTAAACGAAGTGATATACATAACCTGACTAGTCTGAAATCGCACTCTCTTAAGCTATATGTACTGAGCCAGGATCTTGTACAGTTAAATTTTGTTCTGACTATTTTTTCCCACATATCCTGTTGTAGGTTGCTGATCCTCCCCACAGTGCTATGCTTAAGTTTTTGTTCCTCAAAACATGTGAGCCATATTGTGAGTTTATAAGATCTTGGATATATAAAGCCGAACTTAATGATCCTTACAAGGAGTTCATTGTGGAATGTGTCAGTGAACCAACATCATTTTCTTGGAATAAGCCTGGCATCTCCCCATTGGAAACCGTGAGGGTAATATTATCTTTGTGTTTACCGCATCTTTTATTTTAGTATCTTTAAACCATTGGTATCAGATTGCTTTCTTCTGCTGCACTGTAGGAGCGAGAAGGAAGGTTTGTTCCATGTTTCTTAAACGGCTTATTGGTACCGATACTAAGGGCTGGTCAACAGCTTCAAGTAATTACAAAACTTCTTGAACTGTGTAATCTTCCTGCATCTGGACACAAAAAATACACAGATCTTCTTCCCTGCTGGACGTATTATTCTACCAGTACTCCAGGGTGTCCATCTCCATTAGTTTTCAGTAAATTACATATAGAAGTGATGATAAAGAAAAGAGACGATTACTACAGAAGGATGCAGGAAAAACTTGGTGACTTTTCAAAAACGTTTGAACTGTTTCCTGGGCAGGTATCATGCATCCTTTGATTTTTATCTGCCAATTTATTAGCGCTTGACCTCTTCTTTTTATTTCTGAAGCTTTGGTCGTTTTCGTTTATTTGTCTAATTGTACTCTCTCATTGCTATGCCAGTTCTAACTTCACTCGTGTTATAGGACATATGTTATTTTACTCTTGTGAAATCAAATTTTCCCTAGGTAATTTAATATCTTACTAATAGTTAAGTTGAAACCTTGTTTGTGTATCCCAAATGACATCAAATGTCTAATTTCAATCCTACATTATAAACTATGATATCAAAATCAATATCATTGGGAGTCTCTCTCATACAGTAGCTTTCAGATGCATTGGTTAAACAAGACCTAAAAGTCCATGTACGTGCAAATCTTAAATGCATGCTCCATAGTCAGATTCACTTTTGCGTTGCACTTATGGATTCCTTCATATTACACTATTCAGCTCTGTAGGAGCGTCTCATTCTCTGGTTTTATATAGGGACCTTTATATGTTATCCTGTTTTTAATAACATATATTTGGATCATATGAGAAGTTTACTTCTTTTCAGTTCTATCCTGTACTGACATTTTTATTTTAGGTTTCTGGAGCAATATCTTTACCAATAATATCCTATGGCGATGGCAATGAAATTCAGAAAAGTTCTGTGTTCTTAACACTGGATGAGAGTTTACTAAGTCCTTCAACAGTAGCAATTGACTTGACCAGGTGTTTATCCTGATTCTATTTATCATTTACCCCCAGCCTGCTGAACATGAATTGATGACGTTTTCTTGGGATTTCAGGGATCAGAGTGATTCGTATTCTGATGATCAGAATATAGAAGACAGATGGTTTTCAGAGATAGATGCGTCATGCTCTTCTGAATGTTCATCGGCTAGGGATTCTTTCGAAGCATCCGATTTACTCCTTGATTCACAAAGTCCATTAGTGGGACCTCCAAAAAATTATGTATCAGCTCTACGTTTCTCTGGTGCCTCTGCTGGGAATTGTAATCAGAATCTGGTTCAGCATAGTGATTCTGGTTATATTGACAATAATTTTGTGAGGAAAAGTGAGAAGGCTGATACTAGTCGTCAGTTGATGAAAACTGAGCCAGAAGAGTCAGTTGAAGTATGTGAGGATGATAAATTTAGGGGGCCTCTTTCTATTGAGTCATGGCCTCTTGGCGGATTACCTAGAAATCCATTTTGTGTTGATAAGAAGTCTGAGGAAGATTACAGAGAAGATCCACAAAATGTAACGGGAGCTAGGATGGAAGAGAGATATTTAATGAATATTGATGGAAGTAAACTATTATTAAACAACATTTCCACCAGTGGCACTTGTCCAGAGCATGAAACAGAACATGAAAAAGACACAAAGGTAAACTACCCTTTCGAGGTGCTCAGTATGAATCCGTTACTGAGATGTGATTTTTTGTCCAAGCACGGAAACACAAGCAGGAGGGACCATGGAAAATCGTTGCATTGGTTTGATTTTTCTGCAGTAGATGACCCTTCAAAAACATGTATTGCCAGGATACCTGTAGGGTTCCCTATTGAATTTCACAAGGAATCTCATAGTCCTCGGATAGATAGAGACTGTCATCGCGATGCCAACCAAGAATTTAGCATAGATAGGTTTCAGGTTGAAGAACCTAAAGTTTCTTGCAGTCATTTATCTTCGGGTTTGAAAGGCTGCGCTGAAGAAATATCAAATGCATTTGGTGGAGGTAGATGGGAGGGTATGCTTTGTAGATCAAACAACCCTGAAACTAGTGCATTTAGTGACTGCAGACATGGATCCTCTGTCACATTTGAATTGCCACTTGATTTTGTTATAGACAAATGTCTACTTCAGGAAATACATCTGCAGTATCCTTCTTGATACTTTCATTTGCTATACACATACATAATTTTAGGTTTATAATTTAACATTTCCCTGGCATTTCCTTTCTAGGGATGTTTTCTCATGATAACATGTTATCTTTCATATATCAATTTTTCCTTAATAGACAAAAGATATAATTTTGTAAGTAAGCTATCTATCAAGTTGCTGGAAGAAGGATTTGGCTTGCAAGAACATCTGCTAGCTCTACGCAGGTATCATTTTATGGAACTAGCAGATTGGGCAGATGTATTTGTAGTGTCCCTTTGGCATCATGTAAGTCTGCTGTTATTCTATTGTATTGTAATTATTTTTTTAACATCTCTAGATGATGCTTATATCTATCTTTTCTCATTTGGATTTCCAGAAATGGATTGTTACAGACGCAGATAAAAGAATTGCAGAAATCCAAGGGTTTCTAGAATCATCTATCCAGCGATCCTCATGTGAACAAGACACTTGTAAAGATAGGTTATATTTGTACCAAGGACAGGGCACACTGCATCTCCCGGCATCAACCACTGGTATGGTCTTCCGCTTGCAAATTAATTACTACTTTGCGACTTGCGTGGTGTGTTTTAGTCGTATACTGATGGGTTGAAATTTTCAGGAGTGCGATCCTTTGATTTCCTAAGGTTGGGTTATCGAGTGGACTGGCCAATCAGTATAATTTTAACATGCGATGCGCTGAAAGCCTATGCTGATGTATTTGGTTTTCTAGTTCAAGTGAAATTAGCAGCCTATGCAGTAACTGATGTCTGGTGTTCACTGAAGGTAAAGGTTTGACTTTGTTGATTCATTCCTTTTATTACATAGCACCCCTTAACATGAAATTTTGCTGCAATTTTCTATATTCTTCGTGGAAGATGTTATTTGAAAATTGTTTTTAATGGTCTGCCTATATTTCTCGTAGCACTATTTAGCTTCTGGGTTAATGGCACACTCACTATACTGTCTTTTTAGGATGTAAGACATATGATGCATGAGAATAAAGAGAAGATATTGAAGCAAGAACTCCGGTGGTTGAACATATTGATAAAACTAAGGTAAATTTATAAATAAAGGTTTCACATTTTCGTAAGTTCATGGCGACTCATTGAGCTAAGTATCTTTTAGGCAATTTGACTGCATGATTAGGTATGGTGATCATATTTCTTCTGGCCTGACCATCTATAAGAGTAACAAAAGACATTGATACCAGTCCATGCAATATCTGTGAAAATGCTAAACATCTTTTGACAAACATTCGTATTGTTTCTTCATCACTGTCTTGTATGATATGCACAATGTATCATTCAGATCACGGAGTCTCCTTGTTCTCCTGAGTATCATTTGATGTCTTTCTTCTATGTGCTAGGCATCAGATCAACCATTTCGTAACAGCACTACAGCAATATGTTCATTCAGAATTGTCTCATGTATCATGGTCCAAGTTCCTTCATTCCCTTAAGCATAAGGTCTGGGCACGCCTTACTCTCTACAGTCTATTTGGTCATAATATAAATATCCGTCTGTCATGGTTTGCTGAAATATTATGTTACCTAAAAGTAGGATTTTTCATGAGTTCCTCAAACAAAATTTTGTAACTTTAGCTTATTGGCACTGTGTTAACCTCATTGCTTAGCTACTCTGAAACTAATGTGCATAGTGTATAACTTTATTGTGATTTCAGTGGTGGTTTATCTCTATTTGGTTTCCTGCATAAGAATAACACATCCCACCACATCTGGCTTTTTCAGGTCAAGGATATGATGGATCTTGAATCTGTGCATATGGCTTATCTAAGTGAAGCTCTGCGCATGTAAGTCATGTTTTGTATCGGTTTCAGAACCCATAATTCAGCCGTAAAGCAAAATTTTGCTTCCGACATTTTTTGGATCTGTAATTTGACTGACCTGATATAATTATTCTCTTTGGACATACATATTTTGATCTAACAGCCTGTTATCAAACCTTTGCAGATGTTTCCTCTCTGAAGAAACACGAGTAATATCTAACATCATAGAGAACATCTTGCAATGCGCGCTGGACTTCCGGTCTTGTCTTCCCAGAGGCATGCAGAGTACAGGTCTAGTCCCAAACGATTTCTGTACACAAACGCTAGGCATAAACACGTCTCAGGTAAAGAGTGTACATATCAAATCCTTTTCTATAGTTTGTTGCGAGAGCCTATACTTTATCTTTACATCAAACAGGTGAAGATGGTGAAGCAAAATTTTGACAAAGAGATGAAGGAGCTGCATAAGTGTCACTTGAGATCACCAAAACATGGGAAATCTGGGCTAACTCGCTTCTGGGACTGCCTCAATTTCAACCTTTATTATTCAGATATCCTTCATGACTCTAACATCTTCTCTCTTATTCCTTAAGAAAACCACATTCTCTGACACTCTTGTGTGTTGTGTATTTTTGTATAATATTTTAATTCCAATGCAGTTTCCCACACAAATAATTGAGCTTATCTTAACAATTATTTTTCTTGTCACTCTCATATTAAAAAGTATATTCTATGTCAGAACAACTACACTATTCGTGATAAAGACATCTTATTTATATTGTATTTTCTATTTTTATTAAAGATACTTTTTGTAGGCAGAGGAGGTGATGTAGAAGTGTACACATATGTACATACGACAAGGTAGACAAGTCAAAAGTCTCGATTTAGTGGTGACAGCGCAGTCCACTTTGGTGCCTTGAAGATCTCGAATCAGGGTTGGCCAATTATTTTTGCGTTTTATGTATGTGGACAAGGAACATTTCGTATACACATTACTTACGTTAGATAAGTGATTACAGAGGCAGACAAAAAGAGAAAGAAAAAAAGAATGAGCTTGGTTTTCGCCATTAATGGGCAAAGGTTCGACCTTGAGCTCTCCTCCGTTGACCCATCAACAACTTTGTTAGAGTTCCTTCGTTATCAAACTCCTTTCAAGAGTGTCAAGCTAAGCTGTGGCGAAGGTGATTGCTTGTCTTATTATTCCTTCTTCTTATTATTTGTGGTTCTTTGTCTCATATAGTCATATTGTTGTTGTTTGGTTCAGGAGGATGTGGTGCTTGTGTTGTACTTCTTTCCAAGTACGATTCTGTTCTACAAAAAGTCGAAGATTTCACTGTCAGCTCTTGTCTTACCCTTCTCTGCAGCATAAATCATTGCAGCATTACGACTTCAGAAGGACTTGGGAACAGCAGAGACGGTTTCCACCCGGTTCACAAGCGAATATCCGGTTTCCACGCTTCTCAGTGTGGTTTCTGCACACCAGGAATGAGTGTTTCTCTCTTCTCTGCGCTCCTAGACGCTGACAAGTCTCAATCTTCCGAGCTTACGGTTGTCGAAGCAGAGAAGGCTGTCTCGGGAAACTTATGTCGGTGCACTGGCTACCGTCCTATTGTTGATGCTTGCAAGAGCTTTGCTTCGGATGTTGACATTGAGGATCTTGGACTCAACTCTTTCTGTAAGAAAGGGGATAAGGATTCTAATAAGATATTACCTCGATTTGATAGTGAGAAGAGTGTCTGTACATTTCCGGAGTTTCTCAAAGATGAGATTAAGTCTATGAATTCAGGAATATACAGATGGTGCAGTCCGGCGAGTGTTGAGGAACTCCAGAGCTTATTGGTAGATTACAAGGCTAATAGTAATGGAGTTTCTATGAAATTGGTTGCTGGTAACACAAGTGTGGGATACTATAAGGATGAACGAGAGCAGAATTATGACAAATACATAGATATAACTCGAATCCCGCAGTTGAAAGAGATAAGGGAAAAACAGAATGGGGTTGAGATAGGATCAGTGGTAACAATCTCTAAAGTTATTGCTGCTTTGAAGGAGATTAAGGTCTCACCGGGAGTAGAGAAGATGTTGGGAAAACTTGCGACTCATATGGAAAAGATTGCGGCTAGATTTATCAGGAACTCAGGTAGCATTGGGGGAAACCTTGTCATGGCTCAGAAGAAACATTTTCCTTCTGACATGGCCACCATACTTCTTGCAGCTGGTGCATTTGTTAATATAATGAGCTTGTCAAGA